TGAAATTTGATTTGTAGCAGGATTTTGTAGTAATGCTATTGGAGTTATAATAGGATTTAGAATTTTAAGTTTACATGAATTTTTTCGATTTAGATGTATACGAAGATTTCTAATTTTTTAAATTCTGTTCTATATCTATTACATGTATGTATTACCATAGTAAAATTGTACATGGGTGCTGGTACGTAATTCCTTATCTGTTACTTATAAAATATTTTTGTTCAATTTGAAAATTAATGTGTACTAGGCATATATAAAAAAATGCAATTAGGCGAATATATATGTGATTTTCTTTTATATACTGGAGAGATATGTGGTCGATCGTGTATGAATCCTAAAGGGTGCTGGCTTCATAAAAATGCAATCAAACGCTTTCCTTGTACTGATTGTGGTAAACCTACTCGGTCTAAAAGCGGTAGATGTCCTGACCATATTAGAAGCTATTATGTTGGTAAACATTATCAAAAGTATTATAAAAGGAAAATAGATACTTAATTTTTGGTACCTTGATTTATATATAGGTAAATAGTATATGATATCTGGTATAACGATGCGATCATTTTTTTGTCATTATCCAATTTGATTATAAAATATAAAAATAGAGAGTTCTAACTATAAAATTTTTAGTACCCAGGTTTTTATATAGGTAGTAAAGATTTTTTATAGAATATAGACTTCTTGAGTAATCTAAAAAGCAAAATGAATACTTTAGTATCCAGGGTACCAAAAAAGTGACTCAGAACTCCCTTTTTCACCCTACTAGGATTGGTTGAAAGGAATGAATAAAGGAGAAGAGGAGTTAATGATAGTATGAGTTGTAGGATTACTATTAGAAGGTGAAGTAGTAGAGACACTTGTGGGAGGAAGAGAATTGGGGGAAGATGTAATAGTAGAAGCACTAGTAGCTAAAGGAGGTTCGGACATCTCAGAGGTAGGAACTTGTGTAGAGCTTAAAATTAGGTCTGAAAGAGGGTTATCAGATATAGAGAAACTGTTGGCAAGGAAGAGTGAATCCTCAATAGTAGAAGAAACTACAAAGTTAAGATTGAATTTAGTAACAATGATGTTTTCAGCTTGTTTGCATGCTTGGTTGATATAATAGTTAGAAGTTTGGGAGGATGAAGGTTGTCGATCCTTAATTATATCAAAGTAGGTTATAATACGAGCAAGAAAGTCAGTTTCAATAAGATTTTGAGTAACTAAATCAATAGCTTGTTCTTTGAAAAGATTGTCAATACTGTGATTTTGGGCAGCAATATTGCGATAAGTAATAAAATATTTGTAGAAAAAAATATTGCGGCGACCAGTAGATGTAGGAATGAAATTATTATTACAGAAAGTTTTTTCAGCTTGGTCGGCTAGTTCATGAAGAGTTGAGGTAGGGATTGGTAGCTTAAATGTGGCTTGGAATTTATGATTGATGAAGAATATTGATGTATCAATATTTAAGTCTTGTAAATCGATATCTTCTTTGGGAAAAGTATTGAAGGAGTCATCTAAGATTGCTTTGAAAAGTTTTAATGTATCATTTTATGGTTAGAGACATAGGAACAGTTGGTGTGTTTACATGTAAGTAGATGGAAATTAAGATGGAAGAAGCATTTATTACATCTGTCTTGAAAGTTGTAAGGTTTGAAAAAAGAAATTTGAGATAGAAGCAATTTTTTAAGCTTAGTTATAAATTGTTTTCTAATTTGTGATTTAATAGAAAGTCTAGTGTCTTCTTTGTAGGAAATAGTTTGAAATTGTTTGCTATATAGGGGGAAACCCTTTTCGAACCAGGTATTAAAATGGTCAAGTGAGTTTGAAAGAGAGGGTATATAAAATTGTTAAAGAAATAGAGTTTTTGGAATTTTGAAAAGTAATTCTATATTGAATCTGTTGTCAGATTTGATAGTAATATATCTGTCTTTCTTGTCATACGAAATGACAGAAGAAGTAAATTTAAAGTTTTTTGGCCGAAAATTAGAATCTTCAGCAAATTTGTTGTAATTAATAGCCTGATAGTTGTTAGAAAGATATAAATGTAAACGGGCAAGATTGAGGCGGAATTGTAGTCAACTTGTAATGTTGTATGGAGGGATAGTAGCAGGAGATATAAAGATTTCTGCATAATTGAGTTTGGTGAAAAGAATAGTAGTAAATTTATGAAGGATTTTTTTAAAAGTATCTTCAATAGAAGAGTTAATATAATATATGTAATTGATAAGAAATTCAGGACATTCACCAGCTATAACACGAATTATGTGATAAAAGCTAGCTTTAAAAGGTTGACAATTGTTAGAAGTTGCTGCTTTGAGAATACTTCCAGGATAGAAGTTATGAAGATGACTTTTGAGAAAGGTAAAAAGTTTAAATCAAAAGTTGGTTTGAAGTCTAGTATTTGGTTTCATAGTATCAGTTATAGAAAATTATAAATCAAATCAAAAGAAGGGTTTTGTTTAGGATGAGAGGTGGGTTGGTTAGAAGGTAAGGAGTTTGATTTTTGTTGTAATACAGAAGAGTAAGTTAGACTTTGGGGTTGTTTATTTTTGGGTATAGAACTTTAAGCAATTGAAGAGTAAGTAAGATTGGGAGTTGGAGGAGGACAAATAAGGGTTTGGGAAGTTAATGGGCTTGGGGATCAAGAGGTAAGAACGAGGATGAAGCTACGGATTGAGTAGTAGGCTGAATAGTAGTAGTTGGTTGGGTAGGAGGAAGGTTGGAGGTAGGTTGCCTGATAGATGTATTGACATCCATCATTTTTGCAACAAAGCTTGAAGCATCGTCATTAAGAAAGTCTGGATTATTTAAAGAAGAAGAGGTTTGGTTAATAGTCAAAGTAGAAGAGTTAATAGAAGTATCATAAATAGCAGAATCAAGTTTGGAAGCATCATTAATAGTTGTTAAAGAATGTAGAGGATTTTGATTAGGGGAACTATAAATATATTCAGATACAAAAGAGGGTAGAAAACGATTTAGAAAGCCAGGTTTAGGAGATGGGTTAGATTGATAAGGAAGTGAAAGAGATTGGGGCGGGAAGTAGGAGGTTGGGAATAGTTTAATTAGTTTGGCTAAGAAATTGAAGTTTGAACAGTTGAGGCTTGTAAAGGTTGATCAGTATAAGTTGTAGAGGGTTGGGAAGTAATGGGAATAGTTTGAGTAGGTGGTTGGTATTGGGATACTGGAGTATTAAAAGAGGTAAGTAGTTTAGAATGAACAGTAGAAGTAGGAGTGGTTGGAGTAGGTGAAGAAACAGGTGATTCAAAGCGTAAGCATGCTTTGTAGAATAGTTAGTTATTTTTGAATAGAATATTTTTATCAAGTGAATGGTGTTCAAAGTCTGGTGTAAAGGTACATAGAATAGGCTATTGACAAATAGTACATAAGTGTTGGTATTGAGTTGGGTTATGAGGTGAGTATTGGCTTTGGGGTTAATTAACGGAAGGTTGGGTAAGAGTATTAGGTGATTTAGAAGAGGAGGGTTGAACAACAGAGGTAAATTTGGTATGATATTTTTAGCAAAAGCAAGTTACGATAACAGCAGTATGAGGGGCTTGAAAGAAATGGGTATTTTTGCCCATACTACATAGCTGAGTTGAGCATTTAGTAGGAGTGACACCTTTATTTATAGATCTAGTACTGTTAGGTCTATCTTCATAGATCCAGATACCAAAATGATTAGGGTACTGGGATAAAAAGGTATCAAGATTGATGGTATCAGGTTGTTTGGTGCTAAGAGTAGGCATTTAAGCTGTTTTTAACTTAAATATTTGAATAGGGATAAATTAGGCGTTGTAGAGCAATAATAATAATAAATTATTGTAGAGAATGAAGAGAGCTTCGAAATGGTATAAAATTTGTTTCATGTAACATAGATCACAAAAGTCAAAGTAGGTTACACAAATTACATACAGGTCATGTGCAGATCACATGTTACACAAACGTCATCTATAACCCGAGTATGCCCTGTGAAACTTGAGTGACGTTGCTAAATTAAAAATAGAAAGAATGCAAAGATAAAAATAGTTAATTTGTGTAATAAAACTTAAAAATAGTGTAAATGAGGAGAACCACTAATGTTGAGATATTTGAAAATGTGGGTGATGCAGGTTGAGGTTATACAGAAAACGTCTAAGTGGTTTTTGCCAAAATGTTTTAGAAAAAAAGAAAAAAAATAGAAAAAGAGAATTATAGGGAGTTAAAGCAGTAATTTGGATGTAGTCCGTCAGTTTTAAAGCTACAGACTTGTACTATAGCTTGTTATGATGGGAACCGTGAGCTCTTTAACTTTTTCTAAGCTTAAACAGTATGTTAAGAAGACCGTTTGGTAGTATTTTGAGTAAAATACAAAAGCAGGCCAAAATGCTAGTAATACAGGCCGACCTGATTAATCTTTTTTACCAAAATAAAATTTTATATAATTTATTATATAGTGTGATAGTAAAACATTACTGTCGATTATTTATAAGCTATCTTTATCTAGGTTTATCTACATGTCCCTAAGATTTTATACGCATTAGCATTAGTGACGTGCCATTATACACTTTATATTAAAATTATTACGAGGATCTTTACATGTGAAGTCAAGGACATAATGGCAATTTCTATTGATTGCTATTTTGGGTTAGATGTGAAAATATAAGAAGTGAATACATTGTATAAGTAAGGTTATGTAAAAAAAATATAAAGATTGAATGTGTTGTATATATTAGGGATAGAAAACTGTAAGAATTGTAAGAATTAGCGATTTGTATATATAAACTGGGATGGAAAGGGTAGTGTTTTTTTCTTTTGCTGCCTGACTTTAGTCTGGCTCTTTGTTAGTGTCCTTCCCAGCCTCCCCCAAAAAAAAAAAAATTTATATTGTTGCAATTAATTCGCCCACACTATTAATCAATATGATATAAATTTGCCCGCTGCAAAATCCACTTGTCACGCTAAAATTTCATTAATTTTGTTATTAACGTTATCATTGGCATTGTTTTATTACCTCATTTTGTGTAGATTATTATTACATTATGTTATCACAGTTATTACTTCATTTTCGGTTAATAATTACTTTTATTATTACATTAGTAAATTCTCATTACTACATTACTATATTTCTTGCACATAGTACATTGTTTTTTGTTTTCCTTACCTTATATATATGTAATCGGATCTAAGCTAAAGAGTATATATAGAGTATCGCATTCTTGTAGAGAGCATAATAGTTTCTAATAACAATAATAAAATTTACTCCAATTCCATTTTATATATGCTGATCGAAGCTTAAATATTCTCTAAAAAGCTAAACTATATAATATAAATTTCTAAAAATTACAAAATTCTTCTTAAAGCAAATCATAAATAAATTTTTATCCAAAACACTAATTCAATCCAACGTCTAATATAATTTAAATAAGTCTTTTTAGTTGCACTTTATTTCTTAATTATAATCGAAAAAAAACATAACACCTGATCCCAAAAAAAAAAAAAGTTCAACAAACTACCTTTGATGTCTCGGGGTCATCAAATAAAATTAATACTGAATTACCTGAAACTCAACCTAATAAAGTGCAAAAAATTAGTCAAATAGAAGAAGATTCTGTAACTAAAAGAACTGAAAGTGAAGAGCTCTCAAGCCAAACATCATACAATATGGGTTCGCCACTTCATTTTTCATCTCAAGAACAAAATAAGGATCATCAAGTAATTGCAGTTGATCAATCTTTAAAAGTTCCAGATGTTAAAATATTAACAAATCATGTAAGCAAATTAAATAAACCAAAATTAGCAGCAAGGCTCCTAGTTGGGTTTGGGATCATATGAAAAAGAACAAATCAAAAAAAAAAATTAGATGTGATGTAGTTATAACTAAACTAAATGGAAATGAATAAAACATTTAGTATTGCAATATTAACCACGCACCTTGGTGAACACCTCAATTCTGTCCACAGAATTTTTTCTTATCAACAATACGGAAAAAATTCAGATAGACAAACAATAATAGATTCAGATAAATTAATGCCGAACATACCTTCAATATTTTCAAAAATGGAAGCTCATAAGCCGGTTAAGCAACAAAAATTATTATATCATTTGACTGCATAGATAGTTGATGATTGTCAAGCATTGACCGTTGTGGAAGGAAGATGTTTTCGACAATTTTGTTATGAGATGGATCCTCGTTTTAAGTTTCCCAACTTAGCTCTAATTAAAACAAAAATTAGAGAATCAGTACTCTTTGCTGAAGATCAATTGCGTAATTTAATATCAGAAACAATGGAAATATTTTCTTTTACCACGCATATGTGGACCAGTATGCATCGTTCTTATATTGGTATAACTATACATTGGCTTTCAAATAATTTTAAATTATATCAAGCAGTGTTAACTATAGAGGAATTTCCTTATTCACACTCAGAAGAACGCCAAGAACAATTTTTATCAAAGATTTTTGAATATTGGAATATATGTGATAAATTGGTTGGAGAAACAACTGATAATGATAAATCAATTGTTAAAGAAATGTGGCTTCTCAGAACACCTCATATATGTTGCACTGCCTATACGATTCAATTATCCATTAAAGATGGACTTAATGCTTGTAATGATCTTTTAAATAGGGCAAAAAAATTAAACAATTGGTTAGTAAAGAGAGATCGATATCGTCAAAGTCTTCATAATATTCAAAATGAATTTAATCAGTTGTTAAAAAGTGCCTTGAAAGACACAGAATGGCCACTATTGGAAGATGAAGATTCTGAATCAGAACCTGAAGATTTGACTGAATCATTAGAACAACCAACAATATCACAATTACAAAAAAAAAATAACTTATCCATCGTTGAACCCATTCATGATGTAAAGACCAGATGGAATTCGACTTTTTTGGTCTTAAAAAGGTTACTTCAATTACAAGATGCTGTAGAGCAACTCACAAGGTCTTTATATCATCATCCTGATTTTCAACAAAGAAAGGATAGACAAACTTTAAGTGAAAAAACACAGAATAGATAGAATTAGAGGAACTAATATTACTTTTAGGTCCTTTTGCTCAAACAACAAAATTAATCGGAGGAACACAATATCCAACCCTTGGCATGATGCTTCCTACTATCTCCCTTTTATTTACACACTTGTACTGAATGAAAGAGTCACTAACTTCATCCAATATCCTTAATATTTGTCATCAAATTGAAAATTCTATGACTAAACGTTGGAAAGCACCTTTAATGGAGGCTTACATTGCTTTTTACTTAGATCCTCGATTCAAAAGTATGTCCTTTGACAAAGAAAAAAAAAAAGAAGTTCAAGAAATGATTGCAGAAATGATAAAAACAAATACTATTGATACCCCAGAACAAACTGAAATAGATCAATTTTTCGATGGTGATAATCAATCTGATTATCCATTAGATAATGAATTAGAACGGTATGAACAAGCAATACAAATGAATAAATATCACATAGACTACCCACTTTACAAAACCCACAACCCTCTTACCTGGTGGAGTATGCATCAAAAGAATTACCCAAATTTAGCAATGTTAGCCCAAAAATTTCTTGCTTTTCTAGCAACTTTTGTACCTTCTGAACGTTTATTCTCTGATGCAGGTAATGTTTTAACAAAAAACGAAATCGTTTAGATCCAAGTACAGTGCATGACATATTGTTCTTAAAAACAAATTCAGATCTATTCAACATTTATCCCAGGCTTGAGTAAAGGTTTTTTTTTAGTAAAATTAGTTTGCGAGTACCTTTTTTTTTGTTCTTCGCTCATACTATATAGGTTTTTATCATAGTTGGAGGTTAATTGTAGGATAAAGTATGTACATAACTTAGAGTATGTGTTTTAGATCTATCTAGATCTATTTGTCACAAATCTAAAATGTCACGAAATCTAAAAAATTATAAACGTTAAAAAACGTTAAAAAAAAAATTGTAAAATTTTGTAATTTGATTGACTAAAAAATTATATATTGTAAAAACTGGCCCGGTTAACCCGGGTCGACCCACCCTGTATCAGCCCTCAACCTGCAGATTTTTCATCAGCCTGTATCACTACAAAAGGCCTTAACTTGACGACTTTACAAGTTTTAGCAATAATATTTAGATATTATATGTAGCAAGAGAGAAGAAACAAGTTTACTTAAGAGACAAAGTTGTGTTTGTATAGTAAAATAACGAGCAATAAAATATTTTTGAAATAATTAAAGTGAGAATTTTTGTGTACGAGTGATAGTCGGGAAGAGTTTTCCCTTCTTTTTATGATCTATTTCTTCTTATTTTAGTATGATATTTCATATATATTTATATTTTTTTAATGCGGCAGTCCTAAAAATTAATTTTCTTTTTTAACATCCATTTGATATTATTTTTCTATATATATGACTGTTGTTCAGTAAGTGAAATTTTTTGAGTGCTAATGGGCATGAGCATGGGCAAGAGCAGAGCTTCTGATGTGCAAGAGCCATGCAAGAGCTGCGCTGCTCTAGAGAATAGAGTATTCATACAATTTGTTGAAATTTGTGAAACTCAAAATTACTTAAAGTAGAAAATCTGAAGAAGATCAATTACCTTAATCAATTTTGATTTAATGTTAATCGTAATTACCCAAATTAAGCAATTTTGCGTAGCACCAAACGCTAATTAAGCGCTAAAAAAAAAAAGGGGAAAGAACCAATCAGAATAAATGCACATGCATCATGATGATCTAAGTGAGACGGGTTATGGGCACATGACGTACATCACACATATGAAAATGTCAGAGACTACATTTCCTCTTTGGAACCTGACATCTTCGTAATAATTTCGTAATAATTGTCAAGTCCTGTTAGTCCTATTAGTCACATGTCACATTAACGGCCGGCTTGCATTATGCAGGCGGGAAACCACCGGCCAATGTCATACATCACAGAATCAACTGCTTACGGTGATGCCCGGCGCAACCTCGGTTGCTATTTTCCGGGAGCATATCCGTTTCAGTTTCAATTATGCATAAACATTCGCAAAATCAATAAAGTATTGTCCAGTATATATTAGACCGGATTATCCAAAGATATCATGCGTGCAATGCTTTTCGAATATTCACATGCATTATGCAATATTAAATGTCGTGGATCATAATGTAATGACACATTATTTATGTTTTATTTCTATATCCACCATTGCAGATATCATGTGATAGTTACAAAATTTCACATGAATATTAGTATTAGGACTTTGGTCCCAAGTCTGATTCGGGACCAAGCCCAAATTAAAACTCGATTTTCATGAAGTCGAGTCGGGCCAAACCGAACTTTTTAATTCCTAATTGCAACATACTCTAGCTACTTACTTGAACTTCTAATTTCGCGTATTAATAGAACGACGGCATTTCACAAAATTTTATTTTATAAATCCTACATAAGTATGTATACCGGAAATTTGAATTGGGTAGGAAATGACCACTAGACATGGGAATATCAAATCAGGCCTACCGGGCAGAAAGGGCAGAAACGGTATTTCTGCCAGAAAAATGCAGAATAGTCTAAAAGGGCATAACGATAGTGGGTGATTATAGCAATGAGGACGTTTCGGGTAATAAGGTCTATTTAGGCATTATAGTCGATTCTGGCTATATCCGATCCTGGCTTTATAGATAGTTATTATAAATAAAGGCCCTTCGGGAATGATAATGTCCTCTTTGCTTACGAACCATTGTCATAAAAAAAGCTAAATAGTGTCCTTATTGAAAATACCATTTGTTTATATAACCTACTATACACTATGAACTAATATATTCGCTAAGACGTTACTAACGCTAATTATTTGACCAAATCTAACGCGCCTTTTTCGACCCATAATCAATTCTAAACTCTGCCGGTTAACCATCTATCCATTAAATAATTTTTTTTCAATATGATAACATTGCCAACTGAATGCTATTATATAATATTTTATAAACTCCGCCATAATTATAAAAACTTATTTTCATGTGCACTTGTAAACCGTCAATGGTGTAGAATTGTTATACCAATATTATGGAGTGAACCAGCTCGCCATTTTGAAGATATAAGACTTATAAGAATATTTCTTTTAACGTTGAATGCCGAAGAACAAACTTTATTAATTCCTTTTAAAATTACACTTCCAAATCACCCAAAACCACTATTTGAATATACAGGTTATATCACATCTATTAATTATTATTTATATAGAGGAATTAGAAATTGGTTTCCTAATAAAAGAGATAATGTAATGCGTGAGCTTGAGAATGCCGTTAAATGTTCTTTAATTACAATGTTTCTACGAACTGGAAAAAACCTTAAATATTTATATCTTGATGAAATTATTTGCAATCAAATAATATTTGAAAATCTTTATGAGAACACAACCGTTACCTCAGTAAATTTAGATTTCATGTATATCAACGATGATCTTAAATCTAAGGGGATAGATTTATTAGTGAAGATCCTTTGTAAAAATTCCAATTTAACTTCACTAAGCCTTAGTTCTAGCCAACTTGGGTTTGAAAGGATGAAAATAATATTAGAGGTTCTTTATAACAACACTGTCATAAATTCTTTAAGTTTTTATGATAATCGAATTAGTACTGAAGAGGGAAAGATGTTAACAAATATGTTAGCAAAGTTCCTTTGTAAGAACACCACGCTTACTACATTGAATCTAGGAAGTGATGGAAGTTGGTCACCTTACAGAGGCATTGGATCAGGAGGAAAAGCATTAGCAAATGCACTTTGTAAGAACAATACTCTGAAAAATTTAAATCTTCAATTTAATTATTTTGGACCAGGAGGAGGAAAAGAATTAGCAGAAGCACTTTGCAAGAACGCCGCTTTGACTTCTTTGAATCTTGGTAATAATAATCTTGGATTAGAAGGAGAAAAAGCATTAGCAGATGCACTTTGCAAGAACACCACATTGACTTCTTTGGATCTTAGTAGGAATTACCTTGGATCAGAAGGAGGAAAAGCATTGGCCGATGCGCTTTGTAAGAACACTTCGTTAAAGGATTTGAATCTTCGATGTAATGAACTTGGAACAGAAGGAGGAAATGCACTAGCAGATGCGCTTTGCAAGAATACAACGCTAACTTCTTTAGATATTGGTTATAACAATCTTAGATCAGAAGTGGGAAAAGCATTAGCAGATGCGCTTTGCAAGAACACTACTTTGACCTCTTTGTATGTTAGTGATAATAATCTTGGACCAGAAGGGGGAAAAGCGTTAGCAGATGCGCTTTATAAGAACATCACGCTAAAAGATTTGGATATTAGTTACAATAATCTTGGGTCGAAGGGAGGAAAAGCATTAGCAGATGCACTTTGTAAGAACACCACGTTGACTTTTTTGAGTCTTACTTATAATAAACTTGGATCAAAGGGAGGAAAAGCGTTAGCAGATGCACTTTGCAAGAACAATACGCTAACTACTTTGCATATTAGTTATAATAATCTTGGACCAGAAGTAAAAAAAGCATTAGAAGATGCACTTCCTTGATGCGATTACGAAGAAGACTAGGATCGATAAAAAGGTTTAGAATTAATCAAATGAAATTTCGGCTATAATGTATTGCAAATGTAATAATTGAGTTTTTTTTTTATTAAATGACACAATCGTTTTGTCTATTCAACATTTTTAGTAAGCTACAATTTTCTGTAGACGGTGTAAAGTTTTGACCTGATGAATTCTGGAGAAATAAAATATTATTCATTAAATATACTGTGGTTATTAAATTTATCTGAAATATTTTCATATTTTTAGAAAATTATTGTTTGAAAAGTCCTTCTATTGCTACACAAATACTGATAAATAGAGTCACAAATTCTATCACTGAAGATGATTCTAACTGATGACTAAAATGAATGGCAACAATATAGCCAATTATTATCAAATACCCCTAACCTCTCTTAAATTTAAACAGCAGTTACTCCAAATTTATCACAGCAACTTTGATTTGCGATCAGGGCTTAAGACACTATTGTAATAGCCGGCCATTTGAAATTTGTTGTTCTTGATCTCCTTATATTAGAATCCAATTTTGATAGATCAAAAACAATACTTCAAACAATTAGCATTGGCGCAGTAAATGGCCGACTATTACAATCAGTGTTGGCAATTCTACCGGCCAAACCAAATTTGTTTGCCTTTTCGGCCAAAAAATTGGCCAATTCGGCCAAAAAAACATATGAATTTGGCCGAATTGCCATTTTTTGGCCGGCCAAAAATATGTTTGGCCGGTAAAATTGCCAACACTGATTACAATAGTGTCTTAAGCCCTGTTTGCGATACAGTATCTTTATATGGGCAAGGTGCTACAAAAAGAGGAATTTTTCAATACGTAGAACTTTTTTTTACATAAATCGATTTAGAATAAGGTTAGGCATTTTTTCACTTAAAACACGAAAGTAGTTGTATTGATAAAATTTTGCAGTATAGCACTTTAAAGTTTACATTTTCTTATGATTTTTTATAAAGATCTATAAAATTAAATTGATTTTCCGAAGATTTTTTTTTTTTTTTTTTTTTGATTTCCTCTTATCATATCTGTTAATAATCAAATATAAAATTTTCCGATTATTAACATCTTCGTGTGGATTTAAAATTGTTAATTAGCACATTTTATTCAGGTTTGCATCTCTTATTATGATTACTTTATTTGCGTAAATATAGTGGACGAGTGAATTATAATATAGAAATAACTAATAAAACAATAAATGGGGTTTCTTTGTTAAGTTCTAATTATAATTGGAGTATATATATCTTATGCTAAACTATAACTGAGATTTCAGAATTCATCCGTAAAATCTGATGATTATGATTAGAATCAAGTACTATAAATGCAAAATCAATGACAAAACGGCAAAAGTTTAATAAACCCCATTTAAGTAATTTGTAATCGATTGAAATTGTACCTGATTGGTAACTATTGGTACCCTATTGGTACTATAGTTGTAAACGAAACCTAAAAATTTTGTTTTTCATCAATTAAAATCTTAAATGACGAAAATGCAAAGAGTGACTAAATTGACAAAAGATGAAGAGATGGATCAAAATATACTTGTTAAATGTTAAAGAAACAAAATTGAATTTATAAAAAGAAAATTTTCATCCATCATCATGTAAGCAATTATACTTTTTTCGATGATTTTGGCTTAATGAATGCCAAGATTCGAAGTATTCATTTAAATCCAAGATTATCAAAAAAAGGCACATCTGTTCTTGAGATATCACATTTAGAGTTTGAAACTTGATTTTGTCTTCGGATTTAAATCCAATTTCCTTCGGATTCGAATCAAATCCGAATATACACGTAAAACCGAATCCACCGAATATGCACGATCTGAAACATAAATATATAGAAGACAAAAGCATTGATCACTCCGTAATGATAAATTCATTGTTTTTAGGCGTATAATCAATTAAATATGTACGTACATCTGTACATACGCACATGCAATAACGATGATACCAATCCTGAAGCTAGTTTTTAGTCTAATTTAACCAATCAAATAAAATAATTTTATGTGCAGAATAAAACCGGATATCGATTTAACAATTCGGATTTGAATTCGAAGCTGGAGATCATTAATTAAATACATTCGGATTTAAAAAATAAATTCAGTTCCACGGGGAACTGATTTGGACCCGGGACCAGTTCAGCACAACAGGAGAAACCGTCCAAATATAGATATGACATTCTCTGTTACACAGATTACTCATTGTATCGACCAGTCAAAATATCACTACAGGATTAGTCAACCAATCAAATTGCGAAATTTACAAAAAGACGAAACCATGGGATTCAAAGGGATTCAAAAAATATGTTGTAAAGCAAAGTGAGAGCTTCATGTTTGTTTAACTATTTTCAATATTCATAGAAAAGATAAGTCAAGCGAGCCTTCCAAAAAAGTATTGTAAAATAATATAAAAAAAATTTTCATCAATTGTGTAACGATTTTGTGACGTATCAACGGTTCCTCCTGTTGTTCAGCACTGGTTCAAAACCAGTCCAGCTCTCACATGATATGAATAGAGTCATTTTTGACACATTGATCAATAACAATATGCCCTTAGTAGTGGTACTTTAAATAAAATTCGCTAATAGGGAAATCAATGACAGGGAATTAGGTTAAAATTAGTTAAATGCCGACTTTTCGATTATAAAATCTATATTAAACCGCTAGGGTAGGACTACTATAGGCTTGTTTTTGACATGGGTGACCTAGTTCAGGACCAGACTTTTTAGGGACTGGACCGGGACCGGACCAGACGCACCCCTACGCTAATCACATTATTTGATAACGCATATACTGTTAATTCGGAAATGAATAGCTGCTAATATCTCAGGAGCAAAAACTCTTGATATTTTAAGTTTAAACCAATGCACTAAATTGTGGCATTTGTTCTCAAATTACACAAATATTCTGAGATAATATAATAAACTTACTATTGATGTACTGTACATATACAGTATGTCACTACAAGAATGCCGACTATCAATATTTATTTAAATATTAATGGCTTAACTTTGTTTATATTTTATATTTGTTT